TTAACAAATCCCTCACTGTAATCATTTGCAGTGCGTGGATCCCCATTTTCAAGAACAGAGGATATTCCCGGATACGATTCCTTTAAACGATCTGGTTCTGCTTGCCTCGCTTCTCTGGATGCTCTGCAACAATTTAGCCTAGAAGTTAGGGACCTATTTCAGCTTGGTTTGCCAAACAGACAGGCTCAAATTCTGCTCACTAAATTCAAGAAGCTTGTTTAAGTAGGTTGTTTTAGAATTTCGAGATAATATTAAGAAATAAAAACCAGGCCTTTGTACCTACTTTATGCTGCATGCATAAAGAAAATAATGGGAACTTATTGATTCCTTACAAGTTACATAAAAGTCATTTAAATGAGGCCGGCCTTAAATGACAACCACATTTTACTTATAAATACATATATATAAATTATATGTATTGCGTTGGTGTCTTATTAAAAGCATTCTGAAAAATCCATTTCTGTCGATCGGAATTAATAACTTATATCAGTTTATATTTATGCTGTAGTGCCTTGAGTCATCCCTGAAATCGTAAGTATTCGTAGTAGTTGGCAGACAATGTTGTATTAACGTGCCGAAGGGCTAAGGGGCTACTGGCATGTCTCGGAGTTCATGCCGCCGCGTCGAATTAGGTGCCCGCGTAATCAGATGCTGCATTAAATGAACTATCGAAGGATTACACCTCTCGGTAACAAATTTCGGTTTTCAAATTGCTCACGGATACGAATCCTTTTCGAAAATCTAAGTTTATGTTCGCCTTAAATGAACAGCTCGTTTGATTGATTCTTTTTTACAATAGCCTGGTGGGATTTGACATAAGTATTGGCCTAGTCGCATTTCTACTCGTGGGTGGTTATTTTTTCCGAAAAGGCATGCTCTTATTTGAGACTTCAGTAGTCAATTTCAATGAATATGCAATTTATAGGCTTAATTTATGTACTAATTAGTTAATCACATTTATTTTGCCCAATTTCGCTGCTCACTCATATTATCCATATTAGGTGAAATAAAGTTTCTATGTCGTCACGGGATCGGCTATCTTTATCGACTATGAGAACATTGGAATGACGTGGATCCCGAACGCTACGGCCTCCTCCACCCAATCTTTAGTGGAGGATAAATTCCTTCTCCTAGGTGCATCTAGCTAATCACACTTTCAACCGATCTTTACATTGACGTTTCCTAGATGTTTCAGCTACGTTATGTATAGTCTGACTACAATTGGTTAATTACCCATTAGAGGTGCATTTTATTAAAAGAATGAGTATATCCTAGTAACGAAAAAATACTGTAAACTTTACTAAGAGGATAGCGTAAAAGGTGAAATTTTTGTTCCGCAAATAACTTTTCTAAAAATTAAGTCGAAGAATCAATTTTACCTTTCACAAGAACTGATGCCAGTATGGGGACGGGAGTGTGGGAAGAATGCTTTGTTTTGCAAAATAACATTTAGGGAAACCTTACGACTAGTACCTGATTGGGAGAAGATCTCAAACAGATAAATATCTGTTATTAATGCACAGAAAGGCTAGAAGACCACCGCCATGACCAGAATTCCATGCAACTGAAACGGAATTAGAAACCGTGGAGTTCATTTTGCTGCAAACCAAAATTCTAGCCATCATATTACCTCACAAGTGGCAGGTAGAATGTTAACTTATCAATGAAGTGTTATCATTTGGATGTAGTAGGTTTTTTTGCTCCTTGGTTCTGTCCATTCAAGTTTTTGCAAAGGGAATCATTGCAGCGTCAAAAGTGAGCCTTCAAAACGAATTGGTCATACTACTCCAAAAGTAGGCTTATTAGTCTTCCATCGAAGATGGGGGCGTCGAGACGAATAGCCGGTGATAGGAGCGGAACATCATAACAGAAATCAAAATTAGATAATCACGCCCAAACTATAAAGTTCGCATCACTGCTTTGTACTTGATATAACTTTCTTCTTTTTACTTTTTTCTCACCGCTTTAATGTTACCAACAACATTTTCTTAAAAAAGCCGTTAAATGGGTTTAACCGATTTAAAAATTACTTCAAATCTTTAGATACAAAAAGCGGCTTGAATCAAAACTACAAAGGCATCCTTAAAAACCTATCAGGACTCAAATATGGTGGATTTCTTTCGTTTGCCTTGTTGCTATTGATGGAAGCTTGCAGAAATGCAATTAGTTTCATGCACACATGCCCAACAAAAGACAGGCATGCGCCAATCTACGCAGGCGGTGACCTTTTCTGCACTCCACCAATTTCTTGGCATTCCGAACCTGCATTCCTTCAAATCTCGGTCAAATCTGTTACAAATCGAACTGCGTTTAACCTGAGACCGAAGCTGTAGAAGTTTGCTGTGTAGCTGCTATTACGGAATTTTAGAGAACATAGGAAGCACTTCTTCTCAAAGAACGACTAGGATTAGTTAATTGGAAGAAAGTCGTGCTCTACAAGACAATGAAGGACCTCTTACCATGAAGCGAAAGCCTGATACGATTTGCGCTTTTGCGTGAGGGAGAGAGGACGATATTGCCTCATTCTCACATTCACTCCTGCTCTCTGTGCTCCTCTAAAGATATCTATCACTTTTATGAGGTAAAAATCACCTGCCTTTGACATTAGCATTGGACAATCACATGATCACATGTAAAACATACCTAATAGCTGGAAAATTAAGGTGAGGTAAAACCGCAGACGACGACTAGATCCAGGTTTTTGTCTTCAACAGACAAAGTGCTTGTCTCCAACAGAGTTTTCTGTGGTTATTTGTGAACTTCTTGGATCACCTTTTATTTGCTGTTCTCTGAACTCAATTTACCATGCATATTTCACGCCCATTATAGCAAGAAAAATGCTAGATTTTGTAAAAGCCTTGCCAACCGTCCCAAAATTTGACCGTAAAGTTCACGCAAATTTGCTTCGACTTGGTGTTAATTAATGAAAATACCCTACGTAGATAATAGTCATTTGAAAGTTGGGAAATTCATGGTGATTTGAGGGAATCCGTAGGCTGCTGACATTATAGTACAAAAGCATGGTAGAATTGCCAGTGTGGAGAGAGTGATGGTGCTAAAATGAACTGTTTCACCAGAGCCAATTCGGTGAAATTCAGCCTAAACCCAAGCTTTCATCCGCCCATCAACCTAAGAATGTGTGAGGACAGTTAATTAGCCGGGTGGGTTTTGCCATTAAATACACTAAAACGAACTTCCCCCCTCGGATACTGAAAAATGAGCTATTTTTAATGACAAAAGTTGCTTTACCCATCCTTATTTAAAAAGCTCTGTAAAGTGTTGTTCATCTTAAACTACTTTTCCCAAGATGGTAACTCCTGCCTAGTAAATCATGATTATTAGAAGACATTACACAAAGGACTACACTTGCCCTGATCGCATACCTGTTCACCAGCACTTTAAGTTCCCTTTAAAATGACAATGATTTTTAGCCTTTCTCTTTGATTATTTTAGCATTAGTTAATCTCAACTACTTAAATTGGAGTAAATGAAAATACGGTTATTCAGAATACACTTCCCCTCCTCTTTTTGTTTTGGAGAGAGAGGACCCCATAAATGGGAAAAGTGGTACACCAGTAGATTTCTGCTTATGTACCTTCCGCTAAAAAAATCCCAGAATTAAGGATGAAATAACTTTTAAGTGTTTTAACAGTGTAAGAACCGGATTCATGCCATTTCAAGCACAAAGAATTTGCTTAAGATCGAAAATAATGTGAAGGAGATTCGTTTACACGCTTTTGTACACTCTGACTGATCATTTTGTTGAAAATAAACTGCTTTATGAATTGTTATAGATCAACTGATGTTCTTTCTGACAGACGTCTATATAAATGAAATTTAAACAAATTAGGTTTCTTCCGTGGCGAGACCTAAATGTTGTGCCTCCTAATTTGTCTTTATTATTTATTCAAATATATGGTAGGTATTTAATCAATTATCTTATTCATTAAGAAATATTCTCTTAGTATTTCAAAAAAGAGCTATTTCCCGAGGGTTTAAAATCAACTTTTGTGTGCTCAATGTGCAAAAATTTATTGCCTACCGGAATTATCTTTTGCATTGTTTTTTTAGGATTCTTGTGGACGAACAACTCTGAGTGTGGTGGTTCTTGAGGGCCTTGTGAAAATGGCCAAAGTGCTTCTCTTTACTCCAACCGCCTGCAACAAAGGTAATGGGAAAAAACAGTCACTTGTACCGGTAGGGGCAAATCCTCTCATTGCTGACGATGAGGGCCGGTTTCCCCTTCACATTGCCGCATGGCAGGGTAACTTAGCTCTGGTCTATCTCCTTCTTCAGGTAACCTGACTTATCACGATGAAGCTTATATATCATCTAGGAGCTTTGAGAATTTTCCTTTATAAATAAGATGCTTTATTATGTGTCGTATATTTAAGGGGAATTTTCGCATCCCATTTTATCAGTTAATTGGCTCTTTCTTAGTTCAATTTCTATGCAAAAACTGAAAACGCTCTCAAGTTTTAAGCCCGGGAGATTTGGATTGCGCCTATTTGAAAAGAAAAAGTTCTATTTTCGAGTCCAAAATGGCTAAACAATAGGTCTTCCTTCCTAAATTTACAAAAAAGTGATTATTTTTACTAGATGGTGCGTGAGTTCCGTCTCTCTTCTCATAATCTCAGTCCCAATCCATCACTTAAGAATTTGTCATCCTAACAATGCTCACCATAAACTAAAACAGTATTAACCCTCAATATTTCAAAAGTGAACAAGGCATCATCAATAATGCGACCAAAATGATTACTGGTTCTTCCCAAGGTAATTTTTGTGGTTATCATGATTTATTAGCTTCACTTAATCATAAACCTTTTGGACTTAATTGCAGAATAGTTTTTATCAAACCTTCCTACAATGCGTACATTACTATAGATTCCACGTTCAAATCTGCAGCACCGAATATTGCCTGTCTTACCCATCTTTGCTAACGGTTTGATAGGTTGGGACCCCAGTGGATGTGCGAGACAAGGAGAATAGGACACCTCTACATTCAGCAGCTTGGCAGAACCACGCGAAAACTTGTAACACCCTTATCGAATTGGGCGCCAATATTAACGCGGTTTGCAGTCAAGGCGCCTCAGCATTGTGCATTGCAGCGCAAGAAGGACATAGTGACGTCTGCGAGGTCCTCCTTCAGGTTAGCAGGATTTGTACTTGACTTTCCGTGATTCACACTTTTCAACCAAAATCGCTGATGCTGAAATACTTTTATAATTGTTTAAAAACAGAATGAAAATGGCTAAAAATAGCTTAGTTCAAATGGTGCCGAAAAGCAAGTATGCTGTTTACCTCATTAGGTTGAATAGGAAAGGCTACAAATAGGTGGATTGTGTGTTAATTTTGGACTTTCGACGATTGTTTCGAGGAAAGAATTATTAATGAATAACCAAAAAGGAGTCAAATTTGCTATTGAGGGCTATTAGCACATTCGTTGCCCTAAGATTGTGGAATGTAATTAACCATCGCAACCAGTGCTTGTTTTTTCCAAGGTGTCACACCAACTGTTTGGATTTTACTCCCTTCTTCCAATTTATTTTTATTGGATGCAGGTTTGCCACATCGAGTGTAATAGGCTGACTCAGATGAGAAAGTTGGAGCTTGAGCAGTGGTGTAAAATGATCTGCCTTTTGATGCATAGCCTCTCAGAAATGATGGCTAAGAGAAAACGACTGCGTAGTTCCCAAGTTCTGTTGTCAGGTAGCGAATCTCAAAAGTCAACTGTTTTTATTCTAATGTGAAGGAGCTTTTAACTCAATCTGTGTACGCGTTTTCTGATGAAGTAGCGCTGAACACCAAATTTTTAAATGTTTTTTTTTTGTGCGAATACGGAAAGATCTTGTGGCGAACTAGCTATGAATGATGAAAAACGCATATATATTGGCTTTGTTGCTTGTTCTTTTTTGTTTTACGGATCAAGTGTTTTGTAATATCTCGGTGCTTCAGCCTGGCCTACAAAATTTGGCTGCGTTTCTTAGCACCAAAGGGGAACTACAGCCCTGCCATTCAACGTCCTTGTATCAGGAGCACGAACACACCTTCGTTTGTATGCTCTCAGGACAAAGAAGCAGTAGTGAAGTTATTCAGTCCTTACGCTCACCCGGCTACAGCCATTAACACGGCGTTTGGTGTTTAGAAATTGGTGAATTCGTAGGAGGCTGGAGATAAATGTTGCGTCTTTTGAGACAGTGAATCAATGACACCTTTGGAGTGCGTGCTAGGATGATATTGTGCCTTGGGAAATTTCTTCTGAGAAGATTAAAAATGTAGAAAAATTTGGACTACTTGGGAAATTTTGGTCGACTGCTGCCACGACCACGAAGTATGGAGGAAGATTCCTAAAGCAGCAGTAGAGGCCTGGCCAAAGCTTTGATTGGTAACGTGTGCCAGGATGGTGTCTGGACTGTTCACAGAAAAATTTGATACAATTTGATACAATCTTTTAGAGAATACTTAGAAGGTTTCGGACACTTATGAAGTAAATTTACTTCTTCCATAAATGTGTTTAAAAGGCGAAATTTTGCTTCCTCCTTTCTCTTTCTTCTTCTCATATGGTGGACTTTATCAAGATTACTACTTTTTACCTCAAGTAAGCATTTTTTCCATGCAAAATGTCAGAGACGATGATTTTGATGGTCTTTGTAGCCCCTTGTTTTTTGTAAATGCTTGTGGGTGTGACCCATTTTCTTATTTTCCTCGACTTTCTCTTCCAGTTGACGTAGGCATTAGTCTGCTATTTCGTATTCAAGAGTGGAAGGTCTTCGCAAACAAGCGGAATTTTATCGCCGGAATCAGGCTATTCGCCTAAACTACTTCCCAGTTATACGATTTTCTCTTGAGCAACAGAGATTGTAAAAGTAGAGCGGCATGCCATCAAATCTATCAACTTCTTAACTCTTTACACGATAGAGAGGAGCTGACGCACTTCAAGCGGATGCCTACGGTCGCACACCCTACAAAGTGGCCATGAAAGCAGGCCACGGAGAGATTTGTGCCCTTCTGGAGCGCTACGGTGCAGTTCCTCCGCCCTCCACCTCTCTACGATTTCGTCATCGTTGGAAACAGATGGCGCCTACTAGCGCTATTCAATTCTCTCAACAGCACCAACAGCATCGACAGTACCGGCAGCTGCATCATAGTCAACAGCCTCAGACACGACAGGTGACAGTATTAGAGCAGGAAAAGGTCGATGTCAATGCGGCGGATTCAGTGATTCCCGGTGCCTGTGGCTTCGAGGGACATATAAAGATGGGAAGAACGGTGATTACCAGTGGACCAACATTGCTACAGCAACAACAACAAAGTGAGCAGTTTTTCAAAATCAAGCTTAACACTTGGTCCTGTACAACTTGTTCACACTACTTGAATAGACGCAGCAAGTGTCCCCTTACTTTATCTACTCTTCATTTCTCCAGCCGCTGCCATGAAATGTCCTAATTGGTTTTCTTCCCATTAGCGGAAAGCATGTCCAACACACAAAACGATGGTCTTTTAAAAAACAAAGATTTGCCTTCAGTTTAATATTTGCAGTGAGTTTTTCCTATTTCCATTTAAAGAGGAGCTAGAAAAAACCTAGCTCATAATATCTCGACAACTCACAAAGTTTCTTTATTTTGGTAAGCTTAACTGCTTAGGTGTTTAAATCAATCGTCCAATTGCTAAATCATCACTTAGGGAGGCAAAGAAAGCCAAGCTTGTGTTAAAGTAAAGGCAAGGTAATCGCTGGATGATTATAACAGAGACAATTTTTTTCACTGTGGGACACAATCTGTAACACTTTATTCTCCAAAAAGAGGGAACCTCAGCCAGTATTGTTAAATTTAGAAAAGTTTAACGTCGTACCAGTATTCTAAATTGATTAAAGTTGGTGCGGATCTTATAAATAACTTCGTTACAGCTGTTCGTTGTAACTTGTAGGGGCTTTTGATCTTTTGGTACGATATTCAACTTTGTGCTCTCTGTTAGTTTCCACTTATTCCTCATTCGCCTGGCATCAAATGCTGGTAAGGTTAGACGTAAGTCAAGCTTTTCCACAAGAAAATCTTCTTCACGAAGAATATGTAATAAATAAATGTTGAATTCTACTCAATCCTAGACTGTAAAAACTTTGTTGGCTACCATAGAATTTACGTGTTTAAAGGTGCATTAAACGTCTGTTAAATCCTTTTAAACTTGCTTTCTTTTTTGAGCTTTGCCCTCAGCACTCCTTGCGGTCACCCTTTCTCCTTCGATCACAACAAACTCTGGTGTGTACTGAAGCCAACCGCGGAGTAGGTCAAGGAGTGCCAATTCATGACATAAATCCAGCCAGAACCTCTGAATGTGATGAACTGTATTAGAGGAGAATCCATCCGAGAGGGAGTGATAATTGATGGACAAGTCTATCCTGTATGTTTGTCACGTTGTCTAAAGTCAACACTGGGAAGGGATAGATCATCCTCTTTTAGGTCAGGTAAATATAGAGACGCCTTCTTTAAAGTTAACTGCGCTTTGTTGATATTTTATTCTCCCTCAATGGTTATTATGCAGAATCGGAGTTTAGAATTTGTCAGAAGTAGACTCCGTTTTTGTTCATCTGCTGATTCAACAATCGGTACCCGATATCTTTCTTCCGTTGTGTTTAGAGTTGTTTTTCTTCGCTCGGAACAGACTCGCTTACCGTTTCCACCAATGTAACACCTCAAATCTCGTCAAAATCCGTAATAAAACCTGTCACTATAAAGGAATTGGCAATCATTAGTGTAAAGAATGGTTGGGAGTCTTAATGGACTTTGTGTTTGACATGCATAGCAAAAAAATTGCCTTGACATTGAAGTATTCGGGGGTTCTATAAAATATTAATTTGATAAATACGCAAAAATCGACGGTTATAATGTCATTCTAACCGGTGTCATGGAAACATAAAGAACTTTATCATTTAGAGATTTTGCTTGTAAACATGTAACTGTCTAATGTCAATGCCAAAAAGGGTGACGATCAACAATTGGGGGAACAGGAAGGATGAGTATGGGGTAGCATCTCCCATCTCACTTAATCATACTCTAGAGTGTAAATCTCACAGATAAGCCTTTTGGTATGACGAATGAGGTCGTGCGTTGCCTTGTAAGGGTGGCATTTTCTGATGACTGATTAGTCCTGGTTGTTTCTTAAGAAGTTTGGTTTCCCTTCCCACATCCGAGTTCTACCATCATTAGGGCAGGTTGACTTCAGCACCACTTTCTCTTCATATCTGAGTTAGGCTAAAATGGGCTACTGTACTATTTTCACTGAAAGCTGTTCTTAGCGGTGTTTGATTCATCATTACCATGAATTGACAGTCCTTTCCCACAAGATATACCTTTTGTCAACTTTCCTAAACTGTGCATTCTACTGCTGCAGCCGTTTCAGATGCTGTATAATAAATTTCTCAAGAAATCTCTGCATTTCTTAGTTTCTCGTTTAAACTTTGCTGGGGAAGTAAACTTGCTTCTGAACCGGGTATATTTTGATACAAAGGTTTAAGTTACGAGGGAAATAGACGTAAGCTGCATTGATTTTGCAAGTCTCCACGAGTTAAATTAAGTCACGGAGTTGAAACGTACCAAAATTTTGGATTTTACGTAAATTGTTACTAAGTGTTGCCACGTATCTTCTTAATGATAAGTCATTCTAAGTCCCCTGAAATGTCATTGAATTTGGGCATCAGATCACCCTGAGTAAATTAATCTTCACGAAGTTAAGTACTTTGTAGCGAATTGCACGCATCTCTTATTTGACTATATTTGGGGCAAGTTAGACTACTGTTTAGAGTGAGTAAAGGCTGAGGCAATTTACCATATTTTTACAGGAAAATACTGTAGAATTTTTTGGAATTAATCAGTATAAAGTATTAAAACACTGGCTAATTTGAAGAATCAATCCACATTAATTGGTAGTGTAGCATATTTGCTGTATTCTTTGTCAAGATTCCCCTTCCACTCCACCCAATCCCATCTTAAACTTTCAAGTTTCTTACAGCCCATTTTTTCGGTATAAAGAATGATATCGTACGTTTTCTTGTGAGAATGGCACTTATTACTGACTGACTACCCCTGATTGTTTTTTAAAAACATGTTTTCTTTCGTGGTGGAGACAAATCTTAGCACGGACTTTTCAACAATGCTTTATGCACTTTCGATGCTGACTGACTGACTTAATTGTGACGAGAAATAATCTTGGTATTCTGTTGTTAGGGCAACAGTCGTGTCCTTGTTTGTTTCAAAAAATGTACTCTTCACCCATCGCACCCTTTTAATTTACCGCCTCATTCTTACCGGATGACCAGGTTTTCTGTATGAGGTACCGTAGAGGTAAATATTCACCAAGAACATCCCTCTACAGGCCAAAAGACGATGAGTAGAAATATATCCACTTAATATAATACAGCCTCAGAAACGCAGCAGAAAACCACGCTCTCAGAAGCCATCAATGCTAGCGATTCGATTGGGGGAAAGAGTTCTTCCTACGTGATAATGCAAGACCTCATTCCTCACATTTAGACCAGAAGAGATTGAAATTTTAAAAACGGGCGGAAGTACTTTCTCAACCCCCATATTCCACAAATGATGGACGTCTAAACGACTCCCAGAATCGGGCAATCCTTCCATTTGCCAAATTTATACTTCCCACGCGATCATGCGATGATCTGCCTAATGCCAAAAATGTTGTGATTATCAATAATACCCCCCTTCTCTAACCTTTCAAAAGCGTTGATCTCATCACGGACATACATTTTAATGAATGGCATTGGCCTTGCCCTTTAAGAATAGAACGCTTTTCACCAGACCTTGCTGTTTCTCAGGAAGAACAAAATAATTTTTCTATTTTACTAGAGTTTTACCCCGTCAATGAGATAGTTATTCTTGGTAAAGAGTTCTGCATGCCGTCTATGTCACACTGAGCATGCCTAGTCTTTTGGGAGTAAAGTTGCGCCTTGGAATTGTGGAATGGGTAGTGAGTGAACGTCTGGAGATAACCAATGCTATGTTCAGTCACTTATCAAACGAACAAAAGCAGTTTCTTATCACAAATTTAAAAGGACCGCTTTTTTAGAAATTAAAAATTTGAATGTCAGGTTGATAATCGTTGAAGCTTGTTACATGATACCCTATTTCCATTTTTGATCGATGTAGGTGCAAACTAATTACTTTGTCACTTATCATAGATGATATGACAACAGGAGCCTATGCTAGACCTTCAATCGCGCTAATAAATGCTGTTCCTGCACCACCTCCGCACTTGAGATCGTGTCGACAACAACATCAACAACAGCCATACGTTCAAATGCCCCAACAACAGCAACTATCAGAATGGTCCTCTACTCCCATGACCTTTGATCCTAGTCAATGGCAATCTCTATTTCCACAGGGGCTCCAAATTTCACCCACTCCCGTATGGTGTCCCACGCCACAGACGACGCAACCCATCTATACTCCATCAATGTTATTCGCCACCCAACCGACGACCTTCGATCGGAACCAATCACAGCAGCCGGTCTATCAACCGGCCTATGTGCTCTCACCACAGGGCATTTTAGTGCCGGCTCAAGCACCCTACTTTGTTCCAGTGATGCAGCATTCGCAGTTTCAGCTAAATGTATCGCAATTTCAGAGTAAGGACTTAGAAACATGTTTCTATGTTTTGATGATGAACTTTCTGTGAAGCTTTTAGTTGTTAAACTCCGTAGGTTTGGTCATTTATATTATGACCCATATTGCATTTTTTTAACATGATGTCTGGTCAGCAAAATTAGGACTATTGTCCTTCTGGAATGGAATTGTCAACACTACCATCATTGCAGCACCGCAGCCATCCTAAATCGCTTTATAAATGCTCATAAATGATTGCCCTTACTGAGATTAAAAAATGGTTGGTCTACTATGCGATTTCACTCCAGATTATGCAGTAATCAGGCGTCCAGGATCAAGTGTTCCATGTGCTCAAGGTTGACAGGAATGTACGCTCTGCTGTACTTTCACCGAAATGCACATAAGCATCTTTGTCCAAATGTGGCTGAGCGTTTTATCGCTGTACAAATGCACTTGAAGTTGTTCGTACCAGTAGACACTTGAGGATGTTTTGCCTTTATTAACAGAGAATTTCGTCCTTAAAGGCTAAACCACCATCATACATGCAATAACACTTGTCTGTTATCCTGGTTAATAGTGTCCAAACCGTACTTGTCCCCGACACGAGTGACAGGACAGACCTGCCACTGACTATTTCATATATTACCGCTCTAATTAAATTCCCTCTTGTACGCGAAATATTCTCAGCTTCGCTTGAGCGCAGTTCATAGGACGTATAATTGAAAAATCATTGCCTTCTTTCAGGTGAAATTCCACCACCAGAAGTGCTAGCAACCCCGTCTTGTGCGGCAACTACCACAAAAGCCTCCTCTACGGTGGAAAACACACCAACAGCAACCATTCATTCCCAAAGACCTTCAAATTTTTATACAGTCGAAGAGGTTGGATCAGTACCGCACCAGAACATGGAGGCGCCGGCGAATCTCACCTTCTCTGGTGGTCCAATTGCTTCACCAGTTGTGAGCGAATCGGCTGCAATGTCATACCACTACAGTGCTGCAACGCAAATACTTAAAGAGGACATTCAGAAGCCCTCTTCAGACCGCCCTACTATTCAACTGATAGTAAACACTAAATTAGGCGAAGATGTAATTAATTTAAACGAGGTAACTGACTCGGAGTATGAATCATCGGTATGGGTGAGCAGGCGGCAGGTGACAGTGATGGCGGAGGCAGCGGTTGAACGTGGAAGTAAAATTAAGAAAGGTACAAAAAGTAGACAGTCAACATCTCCGGAGCGCCAACATCATGGATCCAGAGTCAAGGCGGCGATCCAGGGAGCATGGAAGGGAGTAAGGAGGAAGAAGACCACATCAACACCAGGAAGTCCAGGCGTCTCGACGGTTCCTGTAAAAGACAGGAAGATGGAGAAATCGCAGGTTCAACAACTGCAGCAACAGGAGTCACGGACGCATGCCGAGACTCATATTTGAGTCCACCTTTTTTATCTACCTTTATTTTCTTTTCATCTCCTCCCCTTCCTAGAGATATATCACTTGTTGTCTTGTGTATTGAGCACAATTAGTAGAATTTGCAGAGATGGCCTTCATGTGAGAAGAAGTACTTATGAAAGCCTCAGAGACCCTGTACTATAAATCTTTATATTGAAAGTGATTTATTAAGTGTTTATTCGGTGAATTTCATTATTTATAAACGATTTAGACTAAATAAAGAAACCAAATAACTTCTTATAGAAGTAACTATAGGAAATTACTTTCATATAATCGCTTTTGAAAGAGGCACAAGACTGCAAATTTTGCTCTTACAGTGCGTTTCAAATATTGGCAAAAAATCATCTGTCTCTGTCTTCCGGCTGATTAGTTAATTGATTGAACAGTCTTAATTCTTTCTTAAAAGCTTTTGTTTTTGTGCGTTTCTGCTTTTCGCTATACGAAACAATGAATGGCAGCATCCTTCCTACACCCTCTTGGTATGAAGCAGTGCCTCGAATATCTGTGGAGAGTGGAGGTTTTTGAGAGCAACGTAACCAATGGCAATACTGGAAGTGACTGCAACCCTATAAAAGTGCTCCTGATCCGCTTTTTTACAAGTTGCCTTTTAGTGCCTTACTTTTTAACCTTCCCAGAGCGCCTTAAAATTCCTTCTCCCCTTTCTCTTCCGCATAGATAGGCTTTAAATGAAATCAGAATACTATAAATACCCAATAATGGGACCAATCCCTGTCTCAGCTATCAGGCAATTATACACGCATAATGGCACTGATCGAGACCAAAGGCATCCGTACTAAAGGTCTTGTCGATTGGATTGATGAAAACCCATCAGATTCTCTGCTGAAGCACATACACAACTATTCATAGAAGATAGGACCGTTAGCTTAACAAATTTTGGAATCCAAGAATCTCTTTTCATCTCAAAAGCTTATTGGCATCCATTAAAACAGTCATTGGCCTGGCGGCCTCCACAACTTTCCGCATTACAGGCTGTTGATTTTGACACGTTGAACTCCGTGTATTTCACTCAACAGCAAGGATCAAAAACCAAGGGCTCTTACTGGATGTCATGTATCCATCATCACCTCAATTTTTTACTTTACCTCTGAGCGGTGTGCTTAGTTGCCTCACCTTTCCCATTGCTAAACAGGAAGCTTTGCAAGAAGCTTCTACAGGTTTGAAATCGAATTAAACTGGAGTTGTGTAGCAGGCAAGTATGAATCACATGAGTCAAACGCATATGTCAATTGATGGTCTAATGATTGACAGAAGAAAACAATCGAAAAGCACAATTAAGAGGTTTCGTATTCAAATAAGGATTAAATCAGACAACCATTTTTCTAGATTTTTAAAAGGAATTCTTCATTTTATATTGTTGCACATTCGTAGCAAAGGTAAGCAAAACTGACCCAAGTAAAGAACACTTTTAGTTCCGTCGAATGGTGGATAACTTTAAGCGCTAATATCGAAAAATATCTGCTGTCGATCATTGAATCTGCGGAGGTACTCTGCTTATGCATTAAACCGATGTCTTCTTTTGCAAAAAAACCCATGAAGGGAAACCAAGTACTGGCAAGTCGCAGTTAATTTGCAAGAAAAGGTAGACACATTTGCTTAAACTAGACTGTTGTAAACCAAAAGTAGGTGAATGCTAACTCTGTGACTACCCGAACCGGAAAATAAGCGATAAATACTTGAGAATAAAGGTCCTCACTGCCTACAATCTAAGTAAATGGATAGTCATCATTCTCGCATATACTTTGCCTTTGTGAATGACCTTAACGTCAAAGCGACTACTAGCACACGTAAGGTGTAAGCCACTCTGACCTATCGGGAGATATTTTTAGCGTCAGTGCTAATTGAGAAATACCCTAAAATGTTCAGAAACTTGGCTTGAAAGAGGATTTATTTTCGAAAACGGAAAATTATAAAATGTTTAAACTGGGATGTTTTTTTTGGGGTCGTGATTATCCTCAAGAGAAATCATCTGATATTACTCTAGGCAAAAATTGCGACAAGAGGTGAGTGACATACAGAATGTGTTCGCTGTAGAACTCTACGCACCCTTAAGGCCAAGGTCTCTTCCGGTACAATTAGCCTTATGAGGGGCTCGGTGATCGAAACTCTGGGGAGATATACAGGCTTATGCCACCACTGCTGGGTAGCACTCTCTCCGCAATGTGATCTGTCTCGCAATCAATTGCAGTTTGTTGTGTCCAAAGAAGTTCCAAAAATGACCCACAAAAGTAGGCGAGGCTACAGTGTGGTGTGACATTTGTTTTAATGTACGGTTAACGATGGTGGCTTTCAGTCTCTGAGGTCTCCATCTCCATCCTAAGACAACCTTTCGACGATAAATAGGATTTCTTAGTAATTTTTTCCACTTCCAATAACTACTGGATGCCTGCAACTGTAAAAAAGTATTTCCTTCCACTCGAAATGCCTCGTTATGAGAAAGATCGACTCAGAGCTTTGAGACAATTAAACTTTCATTAATCAGATTTTCACAGAAATTCAAATACCACCAAACTACTTCAAAATGAACTCGAAATTCTCCCATAATGAAAGTAAAAGCAGAGCCAGCTATAAGGCGCAAAGTCACAAAAACTTTGATCAACGAAACCTGTATTATAAAACCAACCGAATTTAGTAGGATAAAGTTCAATGAACTTGAGATTTTTCGTTCTTACAAGCCATGGGATGGGTTTTCCTGCGTTTGTAGGGGCTCTTCCGTTTCCACTCTTTCATCCATTGGAGAGACTGTGATAGTTGATCGCCTAGCCAGTCCTGTTGTGTCCTCCAAGAAGAGAATCAAAACTAATTGCAGCACCATAATGAAGGTATACACAACCAAGGGTAAGCCATGCATCACTTCCTTGTCGAGGCGATTAATCACAGGAAACCATAAGGCTCCTAATCTTGCCATCCCAGCTGCTAGTCCAAATCCTCTATTTCGATAGATAGGCTTGTACAACTCTGGCACGTAAATAAAGAGCATTCTCTGGACAGCGGAGAGGAATAGAATAATGACATTACTGTACATATTCAACATGGCGTCGGTAGTTGGTTGGAAATACATTGTATGGAATGCGGCTACTGCACCCATGATTACCACAACCACGTAGACCACGAGAAGTGGAAGTCTGCGCGATTTGCAGTATCGATAGAGTGCAGCGGCCAGAATACACCCAGGTATCTGCGCTAATGAATTAACAATCGTAACAAAAGAGACATGCAGTTTTATGTTACTGGCAAAAAATACCATTCCAAAAATGCAGGTTATCTGACAAGTGAGAATCGAAGTTGAAAGGAGCGTAATTTTAATTAGATGTGGTTTGAAGAGCTGCCAAATGGCGAATTCACTCGCGCTCTCATTGGATGAGTAGATAGCTCGTAGACGTATATTTCGAAGAATGACATCTTGCCGTCCGTTTGGACCTAATCCCACATGTTGGAGGAATTCCTCAGTAGTCATGAGAACTTCTGGCTGAGGTTTACGAAATCGGGAATTAAACCGATATGCTGAGTAGAGAATATGAGCAGCTTCCTCCGCTCTTCCGCAGGCCGCTAGCCATCTGGGTGATTCTGGAAGTAACCAGATGTGTAAGATGACAAGGATACTTGGAAGGTTGTTGAGGATGATGAATAATCTCCAATTAGTTACGTATATGGCCAGGATTCCAATCATACAGCCTTGTAGAATGATTTGCAGAACCATGCCAATGGCAGAGAGAGTCGATCGGCATTTAGCGGTGGTGATTTCTGCCGTCAAAACGACATAAGCTGAACCACGAGCTGTAACAAATGTGGCTAAAGCAACTCTTCCAATAACGTAGAACCAGTGACTTAAACTTAAAGCTGTGGCTAGCCCTGCCAATATCTCTCCACAACCAGAAATGACCATAGCTTTGCGTCTTCCAACACGATCACTCAGCCATCCACCAAAAATGAATCCAACCATCATTCCAACCATGTAGGCACTCTCGTTGAACGGCAGTTGCCAGGCCTCGTCGCAAACCAACTCCCATTGTTGAACGATCCCACCTTTGTACTGAACCTCCGAATATTCGAAGACATAACCATCAAAACAGGTGTAGTTCGCAGTGATGACATGATCACGAGCACTTCTATAGAATTCAAAGAGTGCCGAGGTGGTAATGTTGGTAGGCGCCCTACCGGCATATCTTCGGCACTGTCGAAAGTGATTATTAGACTCATCGACCGGGCCTAGGAATCGGGCCACATAGGTGAAATTGAAACCTTGAAACCAGGCTTCTAGTGCAGCGTCAGCACGGCAACGGTGTCGCGGGACAGAGTTGAAGAAGACGGAGATTATCATATTATTTGAGAAGGAAAGAGAAATGAGGAGAATGATCCAGACCTGCCATGCACCTAGTCCACCAACAAGGGTTTCGAAAATTTGGTCTATCTGGGCGCCATACATTGATGTTTACGAGGTGGGCCAAACTTAGCCACACCAGGAACACATGGGTGTTTCACGTGTTCTAACATCGATTGTGGGGTCAGCTCTTGTCACGCTGCATTGCACTTAAATTATGCAATCTTCTCGTGATATAAATGAGAGACTGGGCTACGGAGATGGTAACGAACACAAATCCGCGTTGGTGAGAATCGACGCTAGAGACGTTCGAAAAGAGGTTTAAGACAATTGTTGACATGAGCAGCGGTGCGAGTGAAGCGGGATCAATGGCTACATAACCATCGGCCATACACACCTGTAAACAGTTTCTGTTTTTGTCTCGTGCGTTTTATCTTAGGCTTTTTGAGGTGCAAAAGTTTTCATATTTTGTTAAAGAGAATTATGTCCCATGAAGAGTGCTTCACTTTAAACCGCTGTCACGTTGACAAAGTCGGAAACACAACGGTGACGTTATTGCTTAAATGAAAGCAGCTAGTACCCTTCCCATCACATCAAATTGTTTTAACTCATAACATTTGAGAATGATCTTATTAATCTAAAAAATTCGGAATAAGGTTAATATTCCATACAACTGCAGAGTCAGGGGCTCTAGGTCAATTTTAAGTGATATGGATTTTTAAAGTGACTGTTTTATGGATATCGTAGTAACAGAAACAAATCGGAATAAAGCACCCAGTTATCCTTGCGTTGCCTTTGCTTTTCCTCTCGACAATCTAGTGCTTTTGTGTTTTGGGAAAGAGAAGAAGGAGGGATATTTATCAGTCACATCTGCAAGCACCTTGCAGCCCTTGATGCATGAAATTACACTTACTTCTTCTATAGGCATGCTAGATGTAAACCTGAGATGAAGATGGTAGTACCGGGAAACATAATCACAGAAGCGCTCTCGTACCTTAAAGACAGCTCTTGCTTTCCTCTTTTTGATAAAGTCAATGCATAGTTTAATGGTCATTAATCACGAAAAGCCAAGCAGCATATTAACTGTTGTAACGCTATTTTTCTCGTCTCTTGAAGCCAAAATGATAGACATAAATAATACCAGAGCATGCGACTCATCGCATAGCAGCTTGGGTACTGCGCAAAACCTTCCTGGGTTTTTAAGGCAAGTTCAAAGTATCATGCATAAATGGACACTTAAAGAGCAAAATGTGGGATATATCCGACCACAAAGTGATCTGGTGATCCTGTAAAATGCACCGACTAAAATATCTAAAAGGTCATATCTTTTTCTAAAGAAAATTGAGTTGGCCATGGCCTGCGAAGTCGGCAATCACTGCATCCTCCGTTACTAAAAAACAAGTTTTTCTCTTCTTAGTCATGGACAAGGATGCGGCTGTTTTTGCCACGGTCGCACTAGAGTATAACCATTCCGCTACTAAAATTCCAACAAGCAAAAGAGATCTAAGCCGTAATACTGCAGTCATTTCATGTGCTGTCAATTAATGTTCATGCTGTAGCGTCCCGAGACTCCCTGAAGATGAAAGAAAACAAAACACTCGGGCAGAATATATATTCAGCGCAGAGAAGGCGTCTGGGCTATTGGCATGGCCCAAAAAGCCAGCCCACCCTGCGAGGTACAAGGGGGCTAATTCAAAGTACAAAGTGG